GGAAGCCAACCAGAGCACGGCAGTAAACCTTCCAGCCGACCCCCCCCTGAGGAGGTTTCTCCTTAGGCCAACCAGTGTATCCGTTTCACCTCATCCAGCCAGAGACAGGACAGATTTCTATGCTGTACTAATAAATGTTCTGATTAGGAGGGAGAAACACCCTCAGCTAAATCCCACCATTATTCAATCAGTTTAATGGAGGCTTTATTTATCTATATCTCTAAGGCTAATAGTTTTATTATCCTCTGATGTGAAATTTGACATGATGCATTATTTACTTCGCTGAATTATTCATCTCTCTTCCCCATTTTAACATTTGGTTTAATAGATGTTGATAAAAATGTTATTGTTATTGAACAGCGATGTGGTTCTTATTTTGTGGATTAAATCACTGAACAGGTAGAGAACTGGTGTAGTAATGGACGACTGATCATTAAAGCGGTTCTCTTTTATTTTCCCACATATGAACACATAAATAAGTAAATACCTGGAACCCCGAGGTCATTATTCTAATCGAGGTATCAGATTAAATCCTGTTGATGTGTGGTGATTGATATTCAGTTTGGTGATGCGTAGAAATACGGACACAGAGTGGTGTAAGCTAACCTGGTTGGAGTAGCGCATGCTGACGTTGCGCTGATCCTGCCGCGGGACGTATCGGTGGATCGGGTCGATGTCTTTAGGGCTGATCAGCTCGTCCACTGGAACGTTATGGAGCACAAATGGAAATAAAAGGAAGGATTAACAGCATTAAAACATTTTTTAAATATAAGATGTTCCATTTTATATTTAAAAAACATAAAATGTTCCATTTTATTAAAAAATATATAAAATGTAAAATGTTCGATTTTTTTCCAGTGTAAGCCTGGAAAAAAAACTAGCATTTTACATTGTATATAAATCTAGATAAGTCATTTTTTCTTATAGGTTAATTTGTTCTTGGTTTGAGGAGGTAAAAGAGACATTTTATCAATGGAACAAGAAAATTTACACTTAAAATAATAAAACACAGTTGCATTGTCTTATTTCAAGTGCATATTATCTAATTATCTCACTTTAAGAGTAAAAATACTCATTCCATTGGCTAAATATCTAATTGACCTACTCAAATTAATGGTAAATATACTTAATTTAGGAAAATTTTAACATATTTCTAGATTGGGGTAAAACTGTGAGAAACCCACCCAGCAGCTTAGCTATGTTATACAGGGCCTGACCCCACAGAAACATCTTCCCATCCCGACCAGAGTTGCTAGGGAAACGCTTCTGGCTGCCATGTTTGTTCTGCTCCGCCTCCACAAAGTCAGCCGGTACATAGTAGTATTTAGGGATGACGGCGTGTCCTGCAAAGAGAGATGACTGTAGTTAGCTCGGTGTTTGTGTCGCCCGCTGGTCCAAACAGAACATCTACTGTCTAAGCACAACAACTGCAGCTTAAAGTGTCATTTTGAAAGCTATCGTGTGTTTTAGAGAGGATAGATAGCAGGTTCTGCATTTAAAAAGGCCGTTATCTTCTCTGTTTGGTTCACTACCACTGAAGCGCTGCAGGATTTGGTGCTTAACCTTAAATTGAAACATTTATGTTTCTAGATATTCTTGCTATAAACCATCTGTTTGATGTTTTTTTGCAGATGGATTCTACCCCTAAAATTGTCGGTTGCAGAGCAGCTTTGACTCATAGCTCAAGCTTTTTTTCTTTTCCGGGTCTTTTTCCCAGGCTATGCTATCTTTAGATAACTTCTACATGATCTCACGGGGGAAATGTAACCTGTTTGGATTCAGAAAACCACATTTTCTCACCTCTGATCTGCAGATCCTGATACACTTCAGATACCAGAGCTCTATTTGCTGAGTAAATCATCATTACTGTTGATATTTTTTGGAATCAGTTTATATTTCCTCTTTAAAAGAGGCACAATCTTTATAAATGTCCACATGTCTGTCCCAAAAGGCAACCAGTTTATTATAAAGTCAGAAAGAAAGTTTTAAAACAGTTAATTTTGTTAACAGGACAAATTATATTGTAAAAACAAACATGTAACTCTAAGGTTTATAACTGACTATATTTATCTAATCAGATGCAGAATCAAGCTATTCTGCTTTTCAAGATATTTTTAATCTAGGTTAAATGTATTATAGAAATAGACTGAATAGAGCTGCCCCCATAGATCAGGCCAATTGTAACCAGATCTTGAACATTCTCCAGTATCTGGACTGATAGCGACACTGAACTATGGAAGATGATTAGGGCCAAGTTAACTGATTTTTAAATTTTATTTCAGTTTAATATGGGAAAAAAAGTCAGAATTCTGACTTTTTTCTCATATCAAACTGAAATAAAATTTAAAAATCAGTTAACTTTTTTTTTTTCCACTGGCCCTAATCCTCTTCCATAAATATCAGATCTAGAGCTACAACTAAGAATTATTTTGCAAATCAATTCATCAGTCAATTTTTTTTTCAATTAATAATCTGATAGCCAAAGATTCCTAGAACAAGATTTTTTTATTAAAATAAACCAGGTAAAAATAAAGCTTTTCCAATTGAGGAGTTCTGGATAGAGCATATTGACGTACGAAACAGTTTTTTTTATTAAATTCAAAATGTTTATATAGGCTCCATGTATTTCTATTATAACCACCAATAAATCTTCTAACATTCCAATAAAAAAATATGATAATTTTTGTGGCTCTAATAAAAAAAAGCAAACCAAATAACTACAAATAAATAAACAATATTTCTGTTAAAAAAAAAAAAAGAAAAAAAGGACAGAGGTCGATCATCCAGATCAATAGGAAGCATGTTTTGTCTATAACCTGCTCGGATCAAACCCTAACATATAAGCGTACAGATATGACATCATGTCCAGCCTCCTGCGCCATCTTCCTCTACGCCGCTCCAGATTATCTTCATAGCTCACCGCCGCAGGAGAATCCCTGCTGTAGGTTGGAAATAGTGACGGTTCTGACCTGATTCTCTAAATAATCAGCAGTAGTCACATGTGATGCAGTTTTAATGCAGTTAAGCTTTGTTTTAAAAGACGTGTTTCATTTTATTAGGATTTTCAATATTTATTTATGTTAAACTTAAATGTACCTGCTGTTACCAATTTTTTTAGGACTCCCTTAAAAAAAAAAAACCTCACTCGGATCTTTTAAAACAATAAAAAAAATATCTATAGTCTAAAACTGTGACTGATATTTGAAGGCCGTCACTAAGGTCTGAATTCAGGTCGATCTCTGTTTATGTTTTAAACTGACATTTTTTGGCCTAATGATATAATTTGTTTCTACATTCTGCATGTAGAAATAAAAGTGCAACACTGCATGTCTGTGTTTTAGGAAATCATCTAGAATTAACAAATCATTTTCAAAGCACTAATCAAAAGTCTGTCTTCTGCTTTCTGATTAACATTAATGGTAAAAACAAATAAATAAAAACCATGTTATCCTCCAAAGCTCAGCCAATTAACTTCAGGAGTCTGTGCTAATTTATGCAGAACAAGAACTAAGGCTCTATGGAGTCGACTTATATCTCCCTCTATTATCCTGTCTACACTCCAATTATTCCTCTTCTATTGTGAATGGACCAAGGGAAACTTCCTTATTATGGGATGCTCTCGCCTCACTGCAATGGTTGCAGGTGGATAATAAAGTCAGGGTTTATGCTCATCGGTTCAGAACATCTTCGTCCTCCTGTGAGCAGTAAGTGGTGGATGAATATGAATGACAGGGGTTAATAAGAGGAAATTTTTTAATCACTGAGAGGGAAAAAAAAACTGGCAAAAGGTCAGGGATATAAATCTGAAGCTCAGATATGAAGCACAAAAATAAAGTTCATCTACGGAGGAAGAAAACACCGCCTTCCTCCTTGGGAAGGAGGAAACAAAAAAACATCCAATATGGCGTCACTTTTATTTCAAAACACCTGTGAACAAAATAAACATACTCACAGGTATGTTAAATTATTTCTGTGCATCGTTTATCTACCAGTGCAGAACAAAATCCCACATGTGCGAGAAATGGCAGAAAATCGCGCGTGCCAGCTCCTCCCACGTGAGCTCGGGGCCGTGCGCATGGTACACTGCAAAAAATCTAAATCTAGATAAGTCATTTTTTCTTAAAATAAGTGCATTTGTTCTTGAATTGAGGAGGTAAAAGAGACCTTTTGCCAATGAAACAAGACAATTTACACTTAAAATTAGAAAACACAAATTAATTGTCTTATTTCAAGTGCATTTTTATCTAATTATCTTATTTTAAGAGTAAAATTACTCATTCCATTGGCAAACTATCTCATTTACCTACTCAAATTAAGGGTGAATACACTTAATTTAAGAAATTTTAAGTTATTTCAAGATCGTTTTTGCAGTGTAAGATCCCGAGCACGGGGAGGAAGTATCACTGTATGTCCTTATGCAACTGTTTATTCAAATATAGCACTAATCCATGAGGAATAATTGTGCTTTTTGGGGGCGAGAACAGTAGTGAATTCCACTTAAGACTGATTTATACTCAGAAACCAGGTCGTCTGCGTATGTCGCAGTGAATACAAATGTGGCTCCGCCCCTTCCACAGACACTGTGCTGGACTTCTCCAAGCTGCACAGGAAAAAATCTAAATCTAGAAAAGTCATTTTTTTCTTAAAATAAGTGCGTTTGTTTTAAATTGAGAAGGCATAACAGACATTTTGCCAATGGAACAAGACAATTTACATTTAAATAAGGAAACACAATTGCATTTTTATTATTTCAAGTGCATTTTATCTAAATGTCTTATTTTAAGAATAAAAATACAATTGGCAAATCATCTCATTAACCTACTAAAATTAAGGGTAAATGCACTTAAAGGTATACTATGCAGCCGGTGTTGATTTTCCAGCGAGGCTCCCCCCAGAGGGC